TGTAGCCCCTGTGCGAACAATAAAGTCAAAGGAACCATACCCCTACTCGCGATCCTTCGCGAGATATAAGCCCCTGAAATAATAAATTCCTATTACAAATATACTGAATTATTTATATTGTTATATTGACCAAATAATAATTTATGGGCCAAATGAATAATAATAATTCATATTGTTAATTTAAATAAGAATTAAAATTGTTAATTTGAATGTTTGAAATATGACACACGATAGGGGCGCCTCTAGTGTCCGTTATCAAACGGTTACGGGACAGACGGACACTTTGAATGGGTTATATATATAGATTTTGTATCACTATAGAAAGAACGTCTACACTCAAAAGTGGTTCGTGAATCCTTCATTCAGATTACTGTAAAGTTGACAGGACTCACTAAAGTTAAGATAAATAATAATAAGTGTTAATAATAAATTATCATTATTCTTTTTTATTTACAGAGAATGGCCAAAAGTGCAAAAACGACAGATGGAAATACAACAGAAATAGTTCCAGTAACGCAAAGTGGCTCCATCTTAATCACAGAATTACCAGAAATAATAATGTTTTATATATTTCAATACGTAGACGATAGAAACTTAGATATATGCAGCCAAGTGTGTAGCCAGTGGAGAGATATCATCGAACACATGATGAATCACAGATGATCTCAAGGGTAATTATTCTATCATTATTTTAGTTGATCGTACGTCATGATTACATACTTGTTGCGAATGTCCAAAATTTTAAAATCGATTAACGTAAATAAATTCTAATTTACAGAATCCATTTTATAAAATAATTACTGAAACGTAGGATTATATTTTCTAATTTTGTTCTAGTCTATGCGTAATACTGTGAGTTTTCTCCATTTGAATCCAAAATATCTAGATTTTGCAGCCTTCTATGGAACAATGCTGTTTTTCGTTGAGTGCATGTCTTCTTCCCAAGAATTTGTTTTTCTATGAAAGATGTTTTGCATTTGTCTTGAGTAAATGCCACTTCACCATCGGTAGAGTAACTATTATTAGGCAATGTAGCTGTGCTTGACAGGATGCAGGTGCATCCTGCCAAGCATTTCACTGAGCTGTTGCATTGTGAACATTTGCATTTGTAAAAAAGTTACTTCAAAAATTAAAACAAATTGCAGTCTTTTTATGTATTACTTTGATTACAATAATGCAAAGTTATGTTAAAATATTGAATTAAAGTAAAACACAAGTAATTAGTTTATAATCTAAATAAATTTAAAACTATTAATGTTCTGATTTCTTTAAACAGAAAATCCCTCTTAAGGTAATAAACTCCATAATCTACACATCGGTAAAGCTACGTCTTTACGCTGGTTTCGGCGAAAATTTTCTATACAATTGTTTCGTTTTCGGTGACGAATCTCTACGTAATTTTCATTCTGCATCTAAATTTTTTGTACTCGGACAACACATCTATAGAATGTCTGCACTCCCAATTAGTAAGTATGATTATTAAATAACTTTGTGAATTTCAGATTCTTCATCAAGTGATACTCACCATCACGTTTTTAATTTCAGATGAAGATGAGACATGCTCTTTTACTGAACATTATAAGTTCTCATCAATAGAAGAAACAACCGAAATACAAATATCAATGTTACCAAATATTCCGGGTTTCAATTTTTTTAATTATCGATTCCTACTTTATGAAAATGAATCTATACTTTCTGACAAATCATGTTTAAAGAATGAAATAAAGAAAGCATGCCACAAAATGAACGTAACGGACGAACAAAAGAAATGTGTCATCTTGTACAAAGATTTTGCAGTATGTCCATGCGAAGACAAAACTAAACCTTTCATAAATTACTCAATTCGCAGGGATGTATACAGACTTACAGTATTTTATGGGAAGAGAGTAAATACTTTCTCTCTTTTCATTTTTCCAGACAAAACTGGTTATAAAAATGTCAAAAGAAAATTGGAGAAGCTGAAACATTCTAAACTCAAAATGGTACAGAAGAGATGCTTCGCGTATATTTTCCATGATGCGTGTAAGAAGTGCATCGATACAGTAACTGGAGAATTTAGAGAAGTGTTTCCTCAAGTGAACTACGTTACTTATAACTTTTTACCCTTAATCATTGGAAACAAAGATGAGTATTTTCGTATAAAAAGAAAAACTTCGACGGCATGCAGATTTTCAGTAATGGTTTTTGTATGGTGGAAATAAGTTTATTGTATTAAACGGGTCTATTAGAATTGGACGTTTAACCAAGTGTTTGGTTCTATACTATTGCGTGTATTAATATTCTACAAGGGAGCTAGTCATTCTACTGGGGTATAAGACGGTCATCCAGCCAGTATAAAGCGTTAAAAGCAAAGATATACGAGGGAATATTTCTTAAATCGTAGAATGCAATAAACGAGAATCTGAAACCATTTTTACAATTACCTCTTAATTTGCATTCAAGTCATTGCATGTGACCTCACAATCTATACATACAAACTTTCTGGTGTTCATATATCGATGTTGACTTTTATAAAAGCGAAATAATTNTGTAAAGGAGTTTATCAAATAATGTTAATCTGATTTGTATTATACTTTATATCTGAACATCCTTTTGATCTCAGTGTATTTTATTACTGTAAATTTTACACTCTTTTTAACGAAGTTAATGCTTCGATAATTTATTAAACTTGTTACATGAGCATTATGAAATAATTTTAAATCTTTTTTATAAAAAAGATTTGAACTTGAAGTATTTTATATTACTTCAAAACCACGTGTTTATATCATATCTGAAATGGTTTCTTAATAAGTAAGCAATTAGTTTTTTATTTAAAATTAATATTACACAATCAAAAGTTATTGTGCTCGTAAGTCTATTTCTTCACGGAAGAAGTTAGCATTTGTATGTGTAAAAAAACAACTCGCCCGGTTATACATTGTCAATATAATGAGTTCTGCTAATTTTATGATTAACGTAGTTCATTACGAAAAAAAATAANAAATAAAATAAAATATGTTTCTATACGTGCTACAAAAATTAAATAACACATTTTACATGCGTCTAAATTATAACATAAAAACTTATTATAATCTCCAGTTCCTATTTTATGGATTATTGAAACCGATACATTTTGCTATTTTGTATTTCCATGCTGTTGGTAATGTATTTGCATCTTTTTTATTTAAACATCGGTTCCTCAATTTACTTTTGTATATCTCTATTTTTTCCATTTCCATCGCTATAGACGGTGAGTGCACCGTTCTTATGATCTTCGCTTAATATTAATAAGACTTAATAGCATGATATTGGCAAGCATAGCACAGGCGGACGGAGCAATAGTTAAGTGAAATGAAGCGAAGATAATAAGTACGGTGGTTTACAATCGTTCTATAATCGAACCAATTCGAATTCGAATACAAATTCGAATTTAAAACGGTTCGAACATTTTTAAAATCGGAATAGAAAATTTTCCACTTTCAACCACTTTCAAGCCCATATCTCCCGCACCCTTATAGCTATCGAGACGCAACCACCATAGTGCACGAATGGAGACTTGGGGCTANTGTGATAGAGTCACTGTAAATAAGTTAGCCAATGATTTTTTTTTTTTTGTAATACAAAACATCCATATATAAACACCTGTCATTTTGATAAGCTGTTTAGCTTGTGACGAAGAATGTGATGATCACTGATTCTAATGAAAATTAGGAGTCTTCGATTGGAGAAATGATTTCGGCACCACAGAAAAATTTATTAACACCTCCATTTAATTGACCTAATTATCTAACGTGAATTTCAAAAAGCTTCTTCGCTTGAGATAATTGATAAATAAGACTGTAAAACATTATAAGTAACGTATTTCACTAAAGGAAACACTTTTCTAAATGCTCGAGTTGCTGCATCGATGCAATCTGTACACGCATAACGAAAAATATACGCGAAACATCTCTTCTGTACCATTCTGGGTTCAAAAAATTTTCAAAAACTTCCAATTTCTCTTTGATAGTCGTAGACTATCAAAGAGAAATTGGAAGGGCTGAATAGAAAGTATTATTCAACGAATTCCGGGAAAACAAGAAGATAAAAATCAGTTAAGAAAATATTTAAGTAGAGATCTTCAAAAATATAAAGGAAAAGGTGCGTATAAAAATNAGCTACTACCACATACAAACACCATTCATGTGCGATGTGTAGTTTTCGCTGAAAAGTGAAATAAAGGGATACACACGTCCATTTATATATGTATATATATAGATTTAGACGCATGTAAAAATATGTTATTTAATTTTTGTAGGACGTATAAGGACATATTTTATTTTATTTTATTTTATTTATTTTATTTTGTTTATTTATTACAAAATGTTATTAACTATATCATAATGTTATCGTATGCATTAATTTACACGACACATTATTCTTAGACACAATACAGTAATGCTTTGTTACAAAATCACAAGAATACAACAGTAATTAACCAAAATATTCACAATAAACAAATAGAAAATAAAACTAATTCAAAATATACTCTTTAAACTATTTAAATATTGTAATTATTGAAATTTTTAAATTAAATTTTAAGATTTAAAGGACTTTAATTATAAAAAAAAATTACCATTTTTAATATTTAATATGGACAGTAACTTATATGAAGTACTTTACATGACAGACAAACAGCTAAGAAAACAAATGATACAATTTACCAAGAGAGTTAAATCTTTTGTAACTTTAAAAATTTAAAAGAACCAATATAATAATAATTTTTAAAGACTATTTTCATTTTTAAATATTTACTTATTTATGTATAANTTACGTATTATAGGAGTTATTTTTACCGTTGTTTACGGATAATGCCACAATTTTTATAGGAATCATAACTATAGGAAACGCTTTTATAGGGGGATCTACTGTATATCAATTAATTTCCGTCTACATTGGATTTGTTGGCTTTTCATTTCTGAATGCTACTTTCTTAATTTCGATAAGTTCTCACCAGTGACCGAGTGGATGGAACCAACGAACAATGGTCGTAGGTCCACACATGGCCAACGGGTGGCTACGTAGAAATTTTTTATTTGTTAGTAACAGCAAAATAAAGGCCCGATTCTGTAATAGATCGCTCAAGAGGCCCCTTTGACTGATCTCCCATGTCTTATATTGCCGTAAGCAAATAAACCAAACTCATTCCAATAATCTGAAAATGTTCTCATTTACATTTAGCATTATCTTTTGACAAAAAATTAAAAAATAATAATCTATATATAGTTTTAAAGAAATTTATATATACTATATTCACTTAATTACTACGACAGAGGGAAGNTCAAAATAAAATTCGAACGAATGGTTCCATTTTGGAACGATAAAGGAAAACCTGAGAATGGCCTATCCAAATAGGCTGAAAACGTTTGAATAAAGAGAAAAAAACTCGGCAAGTAGGGCACAATAACTTTTAATTGTGTAGTATTAGTAAATTTAAATGAAAAAAAAATTGCTTATTTATTTGAAATACTTTCAGATAAGATCTTAAATACGTACATATGTATAAATGAGAATGTTTGTTTGTTCGCTATTCATTCCTAGTAGGCTTTCGACCCATTGCTACGAAACTTGGCAGTTACGTTAACATACTTCTAACTTAACTAATATCGTACATACTGTTCGAAAATATTGAATTCGTATATATATACAGTAGATCCCCCTATAAGACGGTAGATACGTTCCGTTCTTTATGAATCAATTTTGTAGGAATCATAGTTTACGGACTACGGCTGTTTGAAAGGTTTTCTTTCATAAAATTAATCGATTCTAGACTAATTCGACTNTTTAAAGAAATTTATATATACTATATTCACTTAATTACTACGACAGAGGGAAGTATACGAGCTATATGATTACTGCAACGAATAGCACTCACGTAGGTCGATTGCAGTGTTACACTAAAAGCTTTTTAAGTCGGCAATTTGGTTGTCTACATTTAACAATTAGAAGCATTTTCATCGCTGAATAATACTTACTTAATTTTAATAATTTTTTTTCTCATGAAACTCGCTATTTAAATACTATTCACGTAGTTTATAGACATATTGATTATGTTCTTAAAATGGGGGTTACCACATGCATTTTTGAAATTTACGATCTTTCAAAACACTTAAAAGTAGCTTCAACACTTTATTATCACTCAAAAGTAATTTATTCTCGCATTTTTACAAGATTTTTTTTATTNTTTATTGCATTCTACGATATAAGAAATGTTTCCTCATACATCTTTGCTTTTAACGATTTATGCTGGCTGGATGACCGTCTTATACCCCAGTAGAATGACTAACTTCCTTGTTGAATATTAATACACGCAATAGTATAGAACCAAACACTTTGTTAAACGTCCAATTCTAATAGAGCCGTTTAATGCAATAAATTTATGTCCACCATACGAAAACTATTACTGAAAATCTGCAGGCCGGCGAAGTTTTCCTTTTTACACGAAAATACTCGTCTTTGTTTCCAATGATTAAGGGTAAAAAGTTATAAGTAACGTAGTACACTAGAGGAAACACTTCTTTAAATTCTCCAGTTACTGTATCGATGCACTTCTTACACGCATCATGGAAAATATACGCGAAACATCTCTTCTGTACTATTTTGAGTTCAGAATGTTTCAGCTTCTCCAATTTTCTTTTGACATTTTTATAACCAGTTTTGTCTGGAAAAATGAAAAGAGAGAAAGTATTTACTCTCTTCCCATAAAATACTGTAAGTCTGTATACATCTCTGCGAATTGAGTAATTTATGAAAGGTTTAGTTTTGTCTTCGCATGGACATAACGCAAAATCTTTGTACAAAATGACACATTTTTTTTCTTCGTCCGTTACGTTCATTTTGTGGCATTCTTTCTTTATTTCATTCTTTAAACATGATTTGTCAGAAAGTATAGATTCATTTTCATAAAGTAGGAATCGATAATTAAAAAAATTAAAACCCGGAATATTTGGAAATATTGATATTTGTGTTTTGGTTGTTTCTTCTATTGATGAGAACTTATAATGTTCAGTAAAAGAGCGTGTCTCATCTTCATCTGAAATTTAAAACGTGATGGTTAATATAACTTGATGAAGAATCTGAAATTAAAAAAAGTTATTTAATAATCATACTTACTAATTGGGGGTGAAAACATTCTGTAGATTTGTTGTCTGAGTACAAAAATTTTAGATGCAGAATGAAAATTACGTAGAGATTCGTCACCGAAAACGAAACAATTATATTGAAAATTATCGCCGAAACCAGCGTAAAGACGTAATTTTTCAGATTCGTAGATTATGGAGTTTATTACATTAAGAGGGATTTTCTGTTTAAAGAAATCAGAATATAAACAGTTTTAAATTTATTTAGATTATAAACTAATTACTTGTGTTTTACTTTAATTCAATATTTTAACATAACTTTGCATTATTGTAATCAAAGTAATACATAAAAAGACTGCAATTTGTTTTAATTTTTGAACTAACTTTTTTACAAATGCAAATGTTCACAATGCAACAGCTCAGTGAAATGCTTGGCAGGATGCAGGATGCACCTGCATTATGTCAAGCACAGCTACATTGCCTAATAATAGTTACTCTACCGATTGTGAAGTGGCATTTACTTAAGACAAATGCAAAACATCTTTCATAGAAAAACAAATTCTCTGGAAGAAGACAAGCACTCAACGAAAAACAGCATTGTTCTATAGAATGCTGCAAAATCTAGATATTTTGGATTCAAATGGAGAAAACTCACAGTATTACGCATAGACTCGAACAAAATTAGAAAATATAATCCTACATTTCATTAGTTATTTTCTAAAATGGATTCTGTAAATTAGAATTTATTTATGTTAATCGATTTTAAAATTTTGGACATTCGCAACAAGTATGTAATCATGGCGTACGATCAACTAAAATAATGATATAATAATTACCCTTGAGATCATTGTTACTCTGTGACTCATCATGTGTTCGATGATATCTCTCCATTGGCTACACACTTGGCTGCATATATCTAAGTTTCTATCGTCTAAGTACTGAAATATATAAAACATTATTTCTGGTAATTCTGTGACTAAGATGGAGCCACTTTGCGTTACTGGAACTATTTCTGTTGTTTTTCCATCTGTCGTTTTTGCACTTTTGGCCATTCTCTGTAAATAAAAAAGAATAATGATAATTTATTATTAACACTTATTATTATTTATCTTAACTTTAGTGAGTCCTGTCAACTTTACAGTAATCTGAATGAAGGATTCACGAACCACTTTTGAGTGTAGACGTTCTTTCTATAGTGATACAAAATCTATATATATAACCCATTCAAAGTGTCCGTCTGTCCAGTAACCGTTTGATAACGGACACTAGAGGCGCCCCTATCGTGTGTCATATTTCAAACATTCAAATTAACAATTTTAATTCTTATTTAAATTAACAATATGAATTATTATTATTCATTTGGCCCATAAATTATTATTTGGTCAATATAACAATATAAATAATTCAGTATATTTGTAATAGGAATTTATTATTTCAGGGGCTTATATCTCGCGAAGGATCGCGAGTAGGGGTATGGTTCCTTTGACTTTATTGTTCGCACAGGGGCTACAGTTTGGGGGGGNTTGATAGCGCCATTTGCTACGATATTTTATTTTAAAACTTTTTAACTATTATAAAATAGCCAAAAACTTAATTTTGAGGGTAGGTTTTATAAAAAGTTGTAAATGCTAACAACCAGTAAAATCATCATTAAGTTTGATTCCACTAGAGATAAACACGACCCCTTGATCTCCCCTCCCCTTTGATTTTTAACCACGAAAATTTAATAGCACCAATCTCCTTATACAAACCTCCCTGCAAAATTTCAGAAATTTCCAACAGAAAGTAAAGTAGTTACAGTATTCAGCTTTTAAGAGAGACGAAGAAAATTGTTCCCCCCACTCAGTAACATTCATACATACAGAAAAAATTCAATTTTTTTGCATTTCTCGATGTTTCAGGGTGCGGTAAGTTCAAAAATGTAAAAATCTTCTGGGGTTCATTTTCTGACTGATTACTACACTTTCCCGGTGTTATATAAAACAGCCGGGAAAGTAAAAATAATGAGATGTTGAAACTGAGACTTCTGTTCTGTCAAAAGGTATTGGAACTATTAATACGGTAAAACCGCTGTACTTTTGTACATTATTTTGTACAAAATTCTAAATGTACAATAAATAGATAACTACTTGATTTTTGTAATAGATGTAAATGTATATTAAAGTAAATAATCTCTATCTGGCGAAAGGAAAATCAATTATTGCGGAAAGTCCGTTATATTTAATGTTTTCTAAAACATAGCTGCTATTCCAGCGTAAAGACAAATTGTAGCGATCACTTATTAGAAAATCATAAAACTTAAATTACGTATTCAATAAAAATTTGATTATTTTACGATAATTACATCTATAGAGGTAATGTAAAGGTGGTCTCATATTTTTCATGGAGAGACGGTGATAAAAGCGAAATTTGACACGATGTTTATAAGGGCTTTGATGCTATTACATTTTGGTGATGAGAGGTCGAAAGGGTAAGGAGATGGAGGGGGATCATATGTCTCTGTACTAATACTCTATACTGCATAATGGAACACGAGTGTAATCCAAATCAGTGTTTTTTGCAGCTGACTTAGCCTCAAAGTAGGCTTTTTTATTTCCTAGTATGCCAGTATGGCCAGGAACAAATATTGAAGTTATCTTATTTACATGATTTTTAATGTGGTGCTGGTATATGCGATTTTATTGCTATTGCAATTAAGATTTAATAGAGCTTTTAAAACAGACTGAGTATCACTGTAAATGTTGATAGACAGAGTTTTGTTTGGTAGTAAAGTGGCCCACTGAACAGCTTGGTAGTCAGCATCATCTTCAGCTTGATAGATGGAGGCATGCTAGAGGTATCTGTATTTTCTAACATATTTTTGGCAAAATATACCAGTTTGGAGGACCACAACCAGAGGCCGCGTAAAGTAGCATTGGTTGTATGCTCTATTATAGTTTTATAAGCTATATTATATAGTTCTCAGGTGCACCTAGCACATTTTAGCAGCGTGTAGTTTATTTTCTTGGCCTTAGCCAAAATGTAATCAACATGGCAACGGAATGCGGTTTCTCTCTCTTCTCTCTTGTTTTATTTTGTATGACGTTTCTGTTTACACGTGCACTAGCTAGTCGATCTGGCAAAGATTTTTCGTCTTTTGCGAAAATTAAAATTAATATAAAAATAAATATTATGACGTTGATTAATGATAATAATAAGAATAGTAATATTGTTAATAATTAAAAAATAAAGTTCTTAAAATTAAAGTTCATTCGAAGCCATTAAAGTTTTATATTTTGAAATTTGTTCACAATGTCTTTTATAAATGATAGTAGTTTACATACTAATTAATACTTATATATTTTAGACCTACGGTTTTTCGTGTTTCATAAATTTTTTTTTCTTTTTTGGTTAAAATCTTTCTATAAAATCATGCCAAAATATTACGTAAGATAGGGAAGGGAAGGGGAGCGGAGAATCAAAGAAAATATTACGATTTCTTACACAGGGGTGAGTAGGGGTTTAGAATGGCCGAAATCGCCCTTACGTAATTTATGGACGGCTTCTAACACTGTATAATGTAAGATATACATCCACACAATTCCCAATTTTGTAAAGATATTTTTACATTTCTCGGTTCGTGATGTATAAAAACGTTGAAATGAAAAATAAATACAGTAATACCCCGAACTTACGCGATAGGTGGATCCGAGCGATAACCGCGTAAGTCGAATACGCGTAAGTCGGGGTATAATTTCACAATTTGTGTAAAATCCAAATCGGATGTAAGCTAATAAATGTTGTCGTTAATCTTATCTCGTCTTTTGATTCGTTCACAGTTACAAGAAATTACCACACAGAGTCTCTAAAGTCTGCGTAGATATAACAAACACAGAAATAAATTGTAGCTATGTGTGGATTCCGCGCGACACGTCCGAACATGTAAGTTGAACAATAGTGTGGGGGGAGTAATCGAGAGTTGCGTGGCGCTCAAACAAAAGACGAATCGACAAGATTTGAATATCGCGTAACTCCGGGTTCGTGTAAGTCGGGGTAGCGTAAGTCGAGGTATTACTGTAATAATAATAAATAAACCCTGAGGTAAAATATCTAAGATCGCCATACTTTTCTTACGTTACCTTCTATAACAGAGAAAATAATCTTTCATCGGACAGACTTGATTATCATTAATCTTTTTCAAATGTAGCCTTATGATTCATAAACGTATTAAATATAGAACAAACAACCAAATTTATCTGATTTATAATTATAGCATGTACTTTCTCACCATATGAATCAATTTTCGATAAAAATTTATCTAGAAATCATTATACAAAATAATATTTATAAGAAAAATACTTACTAAAAGTTTCAGTTGTCCGACTGCAAACAATGGCGAACCAAACTTGAATAACCTTACTCACGTGTTGACCGTTACCACCCTGCACCCTGCTGTGTACCTAATCCGAACTTAGGAAATAGACCCGTCCATTTTAGGGGTCGAAGGGTTAAATCAGCTTAAAAAATCTCTTCTCGTCGTCTAATTATATTTGGTCTTTCGCATCTGAGCAGTGTTAAATAAAATATATAAATAAGTTTTGAAAATACAATATAAATGATTTATTGTCATAATCGAAAACGCGTGATATATCGAACAATGTTGTCAATGTGTGGTCCGCGTTCCCCGAGGTGTTGTAATGTGTTGGTCCAGTCCAAAACTCCGGGTACGTTCGTAAAGTCGAACGAGTTAAACTAAAATGACGTTATCGTTATTCTTATTTCGTTAGACTTTTCGAACGATTCGTTTATAACTAAACTAGTAGCTCGGGACGCCCCCTAGTGGGCGTTCTTTACAAATTTCCATGAGGCACGGTTCCTTTCACTTTTTTTGTTCTTATCAATATGCTCTACAGCTCTGTTAAAATCCGAATGGTAAGATTTACCCACCGAATGAAGAGGTGGCGACCCCCCCAAAACGTAGACCCCTGTACTAACAATAAAGTCAAAGGAAACATGCTCCTACTCGCGACCCCTTCGAGAGATATAAGCCCCTGAAATAATAAATTTCTATTACAAATATACTGAATTATTTATATTGTTATATAGACTAAATAATAATTTATTGGCCAAATGAATAATAAAAATTTATATTGTTAATTTAAATAGGAATTAAAATTGTTAATTTGAATGTTTGAAATATGACACACGATAGGGGCGCCTCTAGCGTCCGTTATTAAACGGTTACGGGATGGACAGACGGTTACCCGTTAAACGGTTATAACAAATAAATACGTTTATTTACGTTGTTTTACAATCTATATTGCGTCTCGTCCACCATAGGAGCTGGACTGTAGAGTCGATGGCTACGGAACAGTCAGTCGAAATGATTCAATGGGAGTCGGAAAGTTTAGTGATGAAGCGTAGAGAACTGGAAATGTCCAAGGCAGACAGTGGCGTTCAGGATGAAGAGTCCGAAAGTAAAACAATAAAGACAGGCAGATAACTTCACAAGGGAGGCAGAGAAAGTTCTGATAATAAAAAGAAATTTGTCGTCATTCAGAAAATACTTTTTCAATGTTATTCGTGTAATTTCATTCGACAAATTGGCAATTTTCCAATTTAGTTTACAAATTCTCACTTTAGAAATGTTCTCCTTTTTCGAAATTTGTTTCACCGTCATACTTGCTTATGTAACTTCCGCAGAAAACAGCAAATATTTGAAGATACAAACCAGTCATCGTTTTTATTTCATTGACTATGGGGTATTTAATAAGACAGCACAGCATGTGTTTTAAGTTACACATATTTTACTTATTCGAATTAACATATATGTCGTCAAGCCGATTTCCCATAAGAAAGAAGTTGCAGGCAAGAATTCCCTCTTGTCTACTATATCTTTCTTACGAACACATCGATCATTACAGTTTATACATAAAGTTCCTCTCATTATTTAAATCAAAATTTACACTAATTATCACTTTATATACTTATTCCATCAGAGAATAAACAAAAATCAATATCACGTTTAAAAATTATTACTAGAAAGATTTTCAAATTAAATTATCGACTTTGAAAGATACAACGTTGTAAGTTATTTTCATATTATATGAATGCTAAAGTTTAAATTAGTTTCAAAACACTAAATTTTTAGAATAATTTTATGTTGGCTGTTGTTAACCATTTCTCCTTATCTGATGCCATAAGTCTAAAATTACATAACATTGGTACTGGCCTGGCGGTGTTTTCCATCTTCACATGTATAGATTTAACTATAGACGTTTTTCCATAGAAATTCATCGCGAGCGCAACCTGCTCGGCATGTTCTCCATGCGTTCCATGGCCGCCTACCATTAGTTTAAAGCATTCCTCTCCTCGTGTTTTTAAATACAGGTTTGAATTAATTTGAATGTAAAACTGCGATTACATCCATGTGTCTGAGGAGAAAATGATTTATACAGTAGACCCCCTATAACGCGAAGATACGTCCCTCTTTATACGAATTTCGCGTTGTAGGAATCCTTGGGCTGTGATTGGCTCACGTATTTGACACGTGTGACGTTTACGGACTACGGCTGTTTGGAAGGTTTTCTTCCATAAAATTAATCGATTCTAGACTAATTCGACTTAACATTTCCAAAATACGTATATTTTTTTTTGGAATAATCCGTATAAACTACGCTATAAACAAAAAATTGTAGGATTACTTACCGAGTGTGCACCATTCGACATCGCCGTTGCTCAGGCTTGTTTTCGTCGCGGAACAGCGCAGCAAACCGCGGCCGCGATTTCAGATGTTATTTTTCTGCGAAAACTTCGTTTAACTTTGGAGACATCATTAAATAATTTTAATCGCCGTTGAATAAGAAATGTATAAAATTACAGTGCTGTATTAGATTTACGGTACCTAATTTACATACTGTACAGACGATACTAAACTCAACTTACCTGCCTAAACTCTCTGTAGCGTGGCGCTAGATGGCGGAAAATAGTTCGGCTGCTAGTCGGGGATGACGAGTTGGCGATGCCGTTTTACCGCGTTTTACGCGTCTCTTTTAGCGTCTTTATACGAATATTGTCGCAATTTTTTGCCGCGTCATAGGAATCTATGTTATTAGAACCCGTGTTATAGGGGTCTACTGTGATTCACAGTGTCTTCAAATTTTTAGAATATTCATCTTGAAACATAATAACTTTCTTCTAATTTCGACTAAATACAATGTAAAAAAAATAGTGTAACTTTTTATTAGTTTTTTCTTTTTACAAAAATTTACATCTACTACTGCAAGAAGCTGAATAACAAATACATGACAAACTTTGCTTACATGAGATCTTTCTTATGGGAAGAAAAGAGGAACGACTTTTTATTAAATGATTACTTCGTAGCATTGATAATAGAACAGATAGATTTATTCGGAAAGAAAAGCGAAGATATAGGAAATCTGAGTGAAATATTTTCCTACCGAGATGACGAACATGAAACTATTTTGGCGACAGGACATTCTGGGTATGGTAAGATCACGCTATGCAGAAAAATTGCATACGATTGCTCATCCATAGATTACTCTCAACATTTTGACTTAACAGCATGCATTATATTAAGAGAGATAGGCGATAAAAGTGTAAAAAAAGCATTACTCGATAACTCGCGTGAGAACTCGTTAGCTGATGAACATTCGAAATTACAAACTAGGCAACTGAACACTTTGGCGATTTCCGATAGACCGTATTTATTTTAAAAAGCTATTGAAGCTGTATAAGTTTAAAGAACTATATTTATTGATTTGTTTTTTGAAACTGTGTCCTGTTTTATATTTGTGGCGTAGTATTTTGTTTTATTCCAAAGACACATGGCAAATTTTTCATCAAATTCCTTTTCAAATTCGACTCAACTAATAAAGGAATTTGATGGAAAATTTACCATGTGTCTTTGGAATAAAACACAATACTACGCCACAAAAACTATATTTATATTTCTGTGAAAAAAAGGATGAACTGACGATTTGTTTTCTTCACAAGCATTTGTTAATACGTTTTTCCCCCATGGTGGCTAGAAAGCACAGGAATATTACTACCTTCGCTGTTTATAGTTTATTGAGGATTGCAGAATGTTTCAGCAAAGACAAGAAACAGCGCTCACAAAATATATCAAATAAAATTACAATATAACGAAATGTCATGTTCTGTGACCAAGTGGTAAGTAAAAGATAGAGATGTACTAATACAAGTAACGTCAATACCGTTTAAGGTAATAAATACGCTGTAATTACACATAACAACAACATACAATTATTGACTCTGTAAAAGCAAGTAATAGGATAAAATTCGTAATTATATCTTAAAAATAAAAAACGTTTTTCCTGCAAAAAAAAAATTTCCATTTTATATTCTATTCTCCAATTCCGTTTTTTATTTCTTTGTGCAATAGCTATGAGTTTCCCCTCATAACACACTAATTACTATTATATATAAACCATTACGAACACTCATCGTGCAATATTTAATACACTAATGAAACAATTAATTTAGTTTTTAAATCATTTTTATTTACAACGATTAATTTAAAGCAATTGATTTCATATTTACAATTATTTATTTAAAATTAAAATCAAATTAGTAAACTTTGGCCAAATGAAATTGAAGAAATTCTTATTCAAAAGTTCTTTATTTCATAACTTTATTTCCAAGTTCTTCGGTTTAAAACCCAGTCTAAAAACAAATGAATCAATTATTTTATTTCGTAAACTACTAACATTTTGATCGGGATGTAGAAAAATAAAACTTACAATTAAGGCCCAAGGCACTTTATTAAAATACTTGTGTTTCAAAATATCTGTTTCAAGAGGACGTCTGTACGAGTCCTGAAACAAACAACAATTAATTCAAATTTACTATTCGAATGAATATAATTTCGTGTATGTGTTATTTCCGAAAAAAAAAAAAATGTCATGAAAATAATCAGCAACACATCAGTAAATTCTTTTTGTAATCGTCATTAAAATTTACTTAATGATATGAAACAAGTTTTCGACATTTGACTAAATATAATGTAATATAATTAATGTTATTAATTAAACGAATGATTTTATTCGAACACATGAAATTATACTCTTGACTTAAATGTACATCATTAATTCGTTGCATATAGCGACAAAAGAATTAAATGTGTCTGTTTAATTCTTCGGTATGTAAATAAATGTCATTCCGTGCATACAACGGGGAGACAAATCTGAACTTTTAACTACAATTAATTATAAACTTAACTTTTGCAATAAGTCGTTAATAAAATGTCTGGCGTCATCCCATAATGTAGCCGGATACGACACCTGCGCATCTACAGCTGCTACAGCAACTACAAACAAATTTTTATAAACTTACCTTTTGCAATAAGTCGTTAATAAAATATCTGGCGTCATCCGATATTGTAGCGGGATACGACACCTGCGCATCTACAACTGCTACAGCAACTACAAACAAATTTTTATATTAATTATCTTATATTGCTATTATTATTATTATTGTTAAATTAACAAGTTTGGTACTATACCTCTTATCCAGTAGTAACGGGGCAATAAATACACATTATCAATATTAAATGCTTCTTCGACATAAATCTGCAGAGGTGTTGTTCCAACCAACGCTTGAAATAATACGATGGCGAAAGCCAACCAGTCACAGTAGAAATCTACAAACAATATATTCATTAATACATCGAACAAGACGAGAGAAGCAATTGTGAAAATACAAGTCCTTACCGTAAGGCTTCCTCTGCAGAATTTCCGGACATAGAAATGACAAAGTTCCACGAAACTTTGCTGAGTTTCGTTCGTACTGAAAAAAGTAATAATAAAATAGTTAAAAAGTCTACTGTTCGAGAACATTACAATGTATATTTTATATATAATACTTACTGTGGACAGACCGAAATTAATTACTTGTGCACCTTTGTACACATCTAACATAATGATTTCGCACTGATATCTCTGGGTATTATTTCTATTTAAAATAGAAACATTACTTTGTAACGCATAGAATAAATAAACAAATAAATGTACAGCAAATAATTACCATTCTTATGAATATACATAATAGCAGAGGCCACTTGGGCGGCAAACACTTTTGCTTTACTCTCCGCTATAGGACCATACTTTTGTAAAAATTTTCTCAAAGATTCTCCCTCGACAAAATCCGATACAAAGCAAAAGCTAAACAATAAAACTTATTACGTCACATTATTTTAAAAATTTAGTGTTTTAAAACTAATTTAAACTTTAGCATTCATATAATATGAGAATAACTTACCACGTTGTATCTTTCAAAGTCGATAATTTAACAACAACCACCTGACCTCATGGAAAAACCCAAGAGAAATAACAAGAGAAAACGGAATAAACACCCGAGGTCAGTCGTCTTCCAACGTCCGTCCACCAAAGTCTTCCTCAAGGATTAACACTGTGTCCAAGAATCCAGATATCAACCCGTGACAAAGATCGTGCGTTTCTAAAGATATCCCCAATTCCGTGTTGTCACATCGTAGTGCTCCTATTAACGGACCAGACCCAGAATTATTTTGAGCGAATGTTCCATCGGCGTCAACAGTGTCATCATACTACAGATCTGCGACCAAGAAGAAAGGTATTTATCAACCCGCGATTCGGTTGTAAACTCTCTCTCTCAACGGCCTAGTATATTTAAGCCCGATAATATGCCCGCTATCTCTGTATTGTCTTTGGTTCTTATTCAAATTGTTATTTGTTAGAAAATATGGAATCCGAGTGAGTCACTTCCTTCGTCTCTCTCCTCACCTCTACTCCGAATCCAATCGCTCATTCACTACCGCTCGCGTGACGTAACGTCGCGATTTCCGAGTCCTGCGAGACTCGGTGGTGTGAGATTCAGGTCTCCTGACGTGGAGTCAAAGAGACACCGACCCTACGGTCACAAAAATTTGGCAAGTGAACATTATTAAACGTGTCATTGTTGCATTTTCTGTTACAGCTGTTAAACCGTCTAACATGCCAAGGCCGAAAAAATTCCTATTTTGCACACCTGGTTGGAAAATGTATTTTTAGTATATTTAACGTGATCATTCATTTTTTTTAAATAAGTACGTACTACACTTTAATATCCTGCACTTTCTCATTCATGATCACTGCTCGTACAGAAATAGAATTCCAAAAGCATTCCGTATTACCCGACTCTACCTTATATATTAGTATTTCTCAACCTCTAACGAATCGTCGCCCTCCTTGAACGTAGTATCGCCCCCTTCAATAAAACCGTTACGTAGTATCGTTCTCTTCACTTCAAAATTCCGATGCCGAGGGCCAAGACTAACGCCAAATTCGTATTGCATCGAATAGACTAGTGACTAGTATAATGTTATTTGTTTAATTATTGTACGATAAACGAATAAAATATCTAATCACAAAAGACACAGTCTGTTCAAAAATTATTCTTTGAAACCACCATTTATTCTGATCATGTGTTCTTTTCTTTCTTTCTTTCTTCTCTAATATGGAGATTCTGGCTGGTCACCTTTTCTCCGATGAACTCTTGTCCGCAATTAGTCAAATCGATGTGTGCGTGCTACATAACGTTCGAGGGCCTGCACGTGCTGTCTAGGTGAGAGGTCTGTTCTTGCCCAATATATGGGTGTTAAAGTCTGGATGATTGCGAGATCGATCTTCAGAGTACGGCCAAGTTCTTGTCGGGCTTCCGTATATCTTGGACACGTCAGCCAAAAATGTCTGGATGTCTCCTGAGCACCACAATGTGGACAGTCTGGTGAAGCACGTAGGTTTCTAGAACAGAGGAACCTGTTAAGAGGGGCAGTGTCAGTTCTTAGGCGGGCCAAANTGTCTATGGAGAAGAGAGATTTCCAAGAAACCGTATTTCTGCTCAGTATAAAGCCCAATATTTTTAGTGAAATATTTACTTTTCAAAAAGTGAAGTTCAACCAACGAAAGTGTTTTATCAGAAAACTGAGCAGATAAAAATACCAAATCGGATAATAAGCGCTTAACTAACAAAGGCCAATTTATAGAATTATTATTGCTTACTAATTTTACTTTTTTATAAATCAATCATCTAAGGTCAGATTCCGGTAACTCTAAAATCTTTACTTACGGCTGTTTTTCGTTATTATCTAATCTTATAGAAATCTCCAAATTCATATCTCAACACAGCTCGTCACCGAACGATTAACGTGGAAAATCGACCTAATGAATCTAAATTCAATTGTTGCATCTTCTGTTACGGCTATTAAACCGTCTTACATGCCGAGGACGAAAAAATTCTCATTTTGCCCACCTGGTTAGAAAATATGTTTGATTACCTTAAATATATTAGCAATTATATTCATTTTTTAAAAATAAGTACGAACTACACTTTAATTTTCTTTACTTTTTCATCATCACTACTCGTACATTAGGTGTACAGAAATAAAATTCCAAAAGCATGCCGTTTTACCCGCCCTATCTTATAAATCGTGAATTTTTCGAGAAAAATTAGAAAAAGATGATCGGCGTTCAGAATAAGAATTGTAGAGAAATTAGCCTCATTTCGAATTTCGGGCAATGCGCGTCGTTTGTTTACACTTTTACGATGCAAAATTTTTACATTGACATAACATGGGGACGACTTTTGATTCTCGATATCTCCCGTTCTAGGTCGAATTCTTAAGTTTTCTGTGCCACGACACGCCATTTTATCAATTCTATTCAAGTGCAATATTGCGTTGAAAAGAATCGAGAAATTACTTCTCAAAATATGTTTCCGCGATGTGTCAATTTGAGTCACTGCCAAGGAAACTTGTACACTGAGCTTCAATAATTTTTTTTTCATAGATTAACAAAAAGCATATTTAAATTATTCAAATTAAATTTAGTTATTAGTAAACAGTAATTAATAAACCTCGCATCAGAGAAAAAATCGTTTTATTTATAAAAATTTTGTAAATCTGCATTCGACTGTTCTAAAATGAATGATTCCTCAAGTCTTTCGGGAAATTTTAGACTAAGAATTTCAAAATTAACATCTTAATTCTCGTGTTTTGTTTTATTACGTTTAGATACACGCTGCCTTTTTTCGTTTTCGTGAGCTTCGGCCAATAATTTGTTAATTCCGGTGTATTCCGAGTTTGCATTCCCTTCGTTTGAGTTAGAAGCTCCGACCCTCTGTGACTTTCCTACAAAACAGTTCCCGTTTGGTCTATCATTATATTTTTCTGCAGTTATTTTCTTCTTTAAAATTGATTTCGCTTCAATAGCAGAATTCGCGTCGTTTACAAATACTAGAAAGACTAATTTATTCTCAATTTCTTTGCTTCTTGCCATTTCTTCAATTGTTGTATGTTGTACTGCAATTTCGTCTTCTCGTGTTTGTGCGTTTACTTCATTCTCCTCCTTTGTCTTTGCTCTTTTGTTATTTGCAGGATCTGTCGACACTTTCTTTCTTTTATTATTCCTTTGCCCGACCATTTTTTTTGCAGAATAGTCTATGTGAAACGACGAATATTAATGAAACTCTGTTGAACGTGATAAACAACGACAAAGGAAATTGTTGAATAAGAATTGAAATTCTTTGTTGCCATTGTCTCAATAGTTTCTTAATTTACTTTTTGCTTATTTTGATTGACTTTTTTCTAAAATTAAATATAATTTTCAAATTTCTTACTATAAAATAAAAATAAATTAGAAATAATATAAAATTAATGTTTACGTTTAATTGTTTCGAAAGATTCATCGATCTCATCACTCTCATCAATGGCTGGGCAATTAAAGCCAATTGAACACTGATCGCGAATTTGTGTCTGATTGCAAGAAAAACTTTTTACAACACACACTCGAGTTCATGTCACCCGAATTGATTTCAATTTCGGTTTATTTGTTTACAGAACGCCATTCGTGGGTGACCTGCAGATGGGATGGCTCACTGGAGGATTTTCCATGGGAAGTTGGTTCCTATTTACATGGTAATTAATAAAAGTAATCGCAATACACTTTAATCGTGTTTGGGATAATAAGGATAACTTAAAATTACTTTGAGTTTAGCCAATAATATTTTTGGTGAAAACAAAAATGACACATAATCACGATAAAAATAATACATCTACCAGAAAAATTGTTTTTTTTTAAAACTTCTGTAATGTAGACTACGTTTTATTTGATAAAATATTGTACTTTGTAGTTCTTTCATTTGCTTTCACTAAAAAAATATCATAATTTGTTATTCGTAACGGATAAATTTACTAGTATAGGAAGAATTGACAGTAACTTCAACGCAAAGAGTACGCAATACGGATGAAGAATGTCGAAAAATTGATAAACTGATGAATAAATTTGTAATAAAAAAAACTATAATAAAATAATAGAAATTGATATTACATTTTAATTTTAGTGAAGCAAAACACAATTTTAGATTTTGATTTTTATCAAGATAAATGTAGTATAGAAAATTTTTATTTTATATTATGTGTAATTTATTCTATTTTTTTAGTTTAGAAACAAATGGAGTAATTATATCTAATTTTCTGAACGAGTCAATCAAAATAAGCAAAAAATAAATTAAGAAACTTTTGAGACAATGTCAACAAAGAATTTCGATTCTTATTCAACAATTTCCTTTGTAGCTGTTTATAACATTCAACAGAGCTTCGTGCTGTAATCGTCGTTTCACATAGACTATTCTGCAAAAAATGGCTGGAGAAAAAAATAATAAAAGAAAGAAAGTGTCAGCACAACCTGCAAATCAAAAAAGAGCAAAAACAGAGGAAGAGAATGTAAAAGATCAAATCGAAGAAGAAGAAATTGCAGTAGAATGTTCAACAATCGAAGAAATGGAGATTATAGAAGTAATAGAGAATAAACTAGCTTTAGTATTTCTTGGAAACGACGAGGATTCTGCCGATGAAGCGAAATTCACTTCAAAGCAGAAGAAAATCGCAGCAGAAAAATATAGTAACAGGCCTGTTGTGAACTATTTTGTAGGAAAGTCAAAAAGAGTCGGACATCTGAAATCAAACGGTGATACAAACACCGAATACACTGAAATTAACAATTTCTTAGCCGAAGCTCATTTAAAGACACTGCAGCGTTTATCTAAACGAGGCAAAAGAAAACACCAGAACTAAGAAGTTATTTTTTGGAATACTTAAAATTTAATGAAAAATCTCGAGAGAATAATTTCGTTTACAATCTTTGAATGAAAATTTACAAAATTCCTGTAAATAAAACAATTATTTTCCTGTTCTCTGGTTTCACTTTTGTTTCCTAATATTTAATAATTAAATTAAATACTGATTGAATAATTTAAATATGCTCAACAAATTAAGTTAAGTTTTTATTCTCGATCTAACCGTCTTCCGAAAATTTCTTTTCATTTTCCTTGGATATCTGAGAGAGAGAGGCTAACACCTTTAGGCATTAGAAAGAAAAATCTTTTGAAACTCGTAATAGAAAGAAAAGTCAGGTGTCGTTAATACCGCAAGATTGCTATTTTCATTAGAATAGGATCGCAGGATCCAATTCTAATGATAATTGTAGAAGGCAAGCTAAGAAGTACGAGAAATAGTATATGGATAAGATATACAATAAGGTATATAAACAATGAAATACTTTGATCACGAACTATAGATTATTGTTTAAAAATAAAACTAAGTTTAAAACTAAGTTTAAAAATCAATCAACGAATTGCTTAACTTTATCGGCAAGATTTGATGGAGCCATCTGTTTTCATATTTTATTTTAAAACACTTTATATTTTAAACAATTACTAAATGGCATAAAGCTTAATTTTCGAGGTAAACAGATAAGTTTTATAAAAAATTGTCAATGCTAATAACGAGTAAAATCCTCATTAAATTCATATGTACCTGAGATATTACATACGACCCCTACTATTACCCTAAAGCTATACTGCCCCTTAGACATTTTGCTGAACTGAATTTACATATTTAAAAATATATAATTATACTCGTTTATGTAAAGATTCTCAACGTTAACTTGATTAATTAATTGAATTGAATTATCTGTATATATAAAAATGAATGTATGTGTGTGTGTGTGTCCTTCATGCATTACCACACCGTTTATCCGATTGCCGTGAAACTTTGAGAAGTTGTTTAATATACTCCCTTGAAGGTTTCTGGCATAGTACGATTGCGAAAGTTATTGTCTCGTCGTTATTTTGTTCACTAATGTTTAATTTAATTTGATTAAATAATTTAAATATGCTCGATAAATCGAGTTAAGGGAAGTGTTTATTCGTCAGCAAATTATTTATGAATAATCGTTATTATATTATTTCGCTTTTAGTTTAAAAACTTTAACTTTTTCGGCAATATTTGGTGGAGAAAATACTGTACATAATCTGTTATCGTATTTTATTAAAAAATTTTATATATTTGTTAACTATTACAAAATGGCCAAAAACTTAATTTTCAGGGTAAGAATGAGTTTTATAAAAACAGTTGTAAATGCTAATAACGAGTAAAATCGTCATTAATTTCTAACTACATCCGATTTGTTGGCTTAACATGTAGCGTTATCTTTTGAAAAAAGTTTAAAAAAATAATGTATATACTATATTTATTAATTACCACGACAGTGATATAGAGGGAAGTATACGAGCTATATCATTACTGCAACTGATAGCACTCAAGTAAGTTGGTTGCAGTGTTACACTGAAAACTTTCTAAGTACTCAATCTGCTTCTCTACATTTAACAATTAGGGGCATTTTCATTGCTGAATAATACTTACTTAATTTTAATAATTTCTTATTTCATGAAACTCGCTATTTACATACTATTCACGTAGTTTATAGACATATTGATTATGTTCTTAAAATGGGGGTTACCACATGCATTTTTGAAATTTACGATCTTTCAAAACACTTAAAAGTAGCTTCAACACTTTATTATCACTCAAAAGTAATTTATTCTCGCATTTTTACAAGATTTTTTAAATTTAAACAAGTCTTATATGACATGTATCTGATACTAAAATTAGCAATTTCGATCACGTGAGGGCCTATCACAACCAAACCATCACCGGATCGCTTTTCGAATATTAATGTATTTCGGAGGATATTTTTCTTTCTTATTAATTTTTCTCTTATAAACCCGAACAACGCCGGATGTAACGAGTTAGAATAATATTAAAATGTTACCATTA